TATTCATTTTTGTATATATATCAATGAAACATCATTTCAGAATTCAGGATTAGTTTTCCCTGACAAAATAAATGCAGCAACAAGACAATAATAATAATAACATAACAGGTCACCAATTTAACATGTTTAGCTCTATAACATTTAAATGCACCTCTCCAATGTCTAAGAGAAAAAAATTGAATGAACATTTTTTAATGTATGACCTGCATCACTGTACAGAAGACTGCCATATGATAACGCTTTCTAGCTTGTTTGTCCTTTTGGTAACTACATCAAAATTACCACTAGGTGGACAAAAATCACGCCATCTGGTGGAAAAATCACCCGGCTTTTTCGAATCCCGCGAGAATGTGTACAAAACAACAAAAATGGCGCCGACAATGCTTCTGGGTCGTTTTCAGCGAATGTCGGTGATTTTAAAGTAATTTTGAGTGATAAATAATATTTTTTTTTTGCGATCATTGCCCGGCGGGCAAATGCAATGAAATTTGTACTCTCCCAACAATAAAAACTACTTGCACTGGGGAGATGGGGCGATGGTTAACATCGAGCCCTGGTAGCATTATTTGATGTCTTGAGAATAGAAATAAGTACTTTCAGTACCATAATTACATTATTCATGGTGACCTGGATGAACATCTGGAAGCAGATGCGAGGCAAGTCAAGTTTATTTGTAAAGCACAATTCAGTACAAGGACAATTCAAAGTAGCCTCGTGAGACCATCCTGATCTCGCGAGCTTTCAAGGTTTCAGTCGCAAATCAGTCTGGAGACTCTCCGTTAAAGAAAATTTGGAGCCTTTCATCAAACGAACGTCCAATCAGCGTTGGCTTTGAGGCGGGTTGAGGTGTGACGCAACGAGAAGCGCAACATTTCAGTCTAAAGAACATGGCGGCTTCAGTCAATGAAACTAGCGTTAGCGTGGCTATGGAGCAAGTTTTAGCTTCAGCCGATGAAACTAGCGTTAGCGTGGCTATCGGGCAAGTTTTATCGGAATTAGAGTATTTCTTCACTGAAAGAAGAGCAAAACACTGCTCTGGAGGCTATTCTCAGAGGAAAAGATGTTTTTGCTCTTCTCCCGACTGGTTTCGGCAAGAGTAGCCTGGCTTGTGGTTGTGTTTTCGTCGTCGCTCTGTTAGTACGTCATATGCTTCTTTGATCTTAATGTTATATTTTGGCCGTCTATCACCAATATAGGCCAATCAGCT